CAGCAGCTAACTCCTTAGCAGCTAACACCTCAGAAGCTAATGCCTCAGCAGCTAACGCCTCAGCAGCTAACTCCTCAGAAACTAATTCCTCAGAAGCTAACAACTCAGCAGCTAACTCCTTAGCAGCTAACACCTCAGAAGTTAACGCCTCAGCAGCTAACGCCTCAGCAGCTAACTCCTCAGAAGCTAATTCCTCTGCAGCTAACGCCTCAGAAGCTAACGCCTCAGAAACTAATTCCTCTGCAGCTAACGCCTCAGAAGCTAACTCCTCAGCAGCTAACGCCTCAGCAGCTAACTCCTCAGAAACTAATTCCTCAGAAGCTAATTCCTCTGCAGCTAATGCCTCAGAAGCTAACGCCTCAGCAACTAACTCCTCAGAAGCCAATGCCTCTGCAGCTAACTCCTCAGAAGCTAACTCCTCAGAAGCTAACGTCTCAGCAGCTAACTCCTCAGAAGCTAACGCCTCAGCAGCTAACTCCTCAGCAGCTAACTCCTCAGAAGCTAACTCCTCAGAAGCTAACTCCCAGAAGCTAACTCCTCAGAAGCTAACATGTTGTCACAAATTGAAACCATTAGATATCACTGGTTACAACAAAAATATTGTGCTAAGTTTCAGCAATGATAATAAAAATTTATTCTGTTAATACTAAAGCGCTATAGTAAATTAGGTTTACCATTTCTCCAGGGATAAACTAAGTGATTTATATTGTTTAACATTTAAATTTAAGATTTAATCGATACATTTTCTTTGGAAAATGCAAACAATCATAGCTTGATTGTTGTTGTGTTACCATAGCTACAATTTAATGCCTGTCAGGTTGTTCACAAATACACCTCAGCCAATAAGAACCAGAGATTGATTTAAGCTCCGCCCCCTCCCAGAACCCACCAACTCTGACTCAAAACTGGAGGCGAAATTCTTCATGTGAAGAGAGGCCCTGAATCAGAGGCCCCTGAATCAGAGGCCCCTGAATCAGAGGCCCCTGAATCAGAGGCCCCTCCCGGCTCTGGACTCACCGATGTGGTACAGCCCGATCCAGTCGGTGGCGTCCACCTCCTCCTTGATGTCCCAGGTGATGACCAGGTTTGGCCGCGGTTCAGCGTGTACTCCAGCGTGGACGCCGTGAGCGAGGAGCGGCTCTGCGAGGTCACCAGGTCGGTGTCGCTGTTGGCCCTCGTGAGCCCGACCGGCCGCCTATGACGGAGGCGGCGTCCACGGCCGCCCCGCCGCGCTCCGCCAGCGTCCGCAGGTTCTCCGGGCTCAGCGTGTGGCGCAGGTGAGGGCTGCGCCGGCGGGGGGCCGACAGGTGTTCACGGCCTCCCACCGACAGGTTGGGGGGATTGTGGGAGCGGGTCCTGGGTGGGAGGACCGCGGTGGCGAGGGACGGACGCATGCTGGGCGGCGGCTCACAGACACAGACGTACAGGAGGAGAAGAAAAGAGCTTCTGGACCGAACCTTAAAGCGCTGCTGCCGGATCCGGATCCCTGTGACTGTCTGACCCAAACCGAAGAATTTCACGGACCGCCATGGTCACAAGTCAAAGGTAACAGGAGGGTCACAGGTCAGCTTGAGGAACCTCCGGGGAGCAGAGAGGAAACCAGAGTTAGAATTAAATGAACAGAGAACAGCCTGAGTCCAGCACCGTCCTGCTGCTGGTCTCCAACATGGCCGACAACATGGCCAACTCTTACCAGGCTTCTGCCTGGTAACAGCTCGCTAATCCTAATCCAAGACTAAATATTAGTTGGACACTAAATATTTAACTCAAGCTAATATTTAACTTGCTCAATATTAGTTGGAAGCTAAATATTTAGCTTGCAGTTAATATAAATACTGCTAATGTATAGCTAGCAAGCTAAATATTTAAGTTCAAACTAGTATGTAGCAATCTAAACATTTAGCTTGCTAGCTAAATCTTTGTTTGATGGAAAATATGTAATTTTAAAATATTTAGCTCAGTGCTAAATATTGAGCTTAAGCTAACAACAAGCAGCATTAGCTTCTATGCTCAAATCTGGAAAAACTTCCAGAAAACTGCAAAACAGCCGAAACCCTGACTTACGTTAAATGAACGCTAACCTAGATAGAGCTGCTTTTGGACCATAATAAGTGTCAAATATGAACAACTTTTCATTAGTTTCATTTATTTTGACACTAAACTGTAATGTGAGTTCAACAGCTGAAGCTTGGTCCAAACCGGGTCGACAACAGAACCGGGATCCCACAGTGTTGATCTGAGGCCAAACTCCTCACTCTGCTGTCTGGCAACAACTGGAGGATTTCACTTATTGTCTCTCACGTGACACATGAAACCTTTCAAATTAAAAGCGGGGCAGCGGGCTTTATCTGCAATCAATGCGGCTGAACAGAACCGCCGACCCGACCACCGGGAGGAATCAGAAGGAAAGCAGGACGTTCCTGACTCGACAAGATCCCACCCACACACACACACACACACACACACACACACACACCCACACACACCCACACACACACACACACACTCACACACACACACACACACACACACACACACACACACACACACACACACACCCCCACACACACCCCCACACACACACACACACACACACACACACACACACACACACCCACACACACACACACACACACACACACACACCCCCACACACACACACACACACACACACACACACACACACACACACCACACACACACACACCCACACACACACACACACACACACACACACACACACACACACCCCACACACACACACACACACCACACACACCACACACACACACACACACACACCCCCACACACACACACACACACACACACACACACACACACACACACACACACACACACACACACACACACACAGTGAAACCTCAGACAGGGATTTACGGGAGAATAAACCTCCATCCAGATGCAGGCGCCGTAAATCCGGCTCACGGCGCCGACCCGTTCTGATTCTGATTCTGGGTCTCATCCCAGAGACCGGCCGCTGTGACGTTGCCATGGTTACGTAATGGCGCCGCACCTCCACAGATGTTGGGAGCGGACCGGACCGGCCTGCAGGTGGAGAGCAGTGCAGCAGAGGTTCTGGGTTGTAATCCCCCCTCCGGTCCGGATTGACCCGGATTACCGACCCGTTTCCAGGGAAACCGCCTCCAGCCCCCCAGGGAGGGGTCGTCACAGGAACCGGTCCGGTTTCTGTGGTTCTGATCCAAAGCACGCTGCAGAGGGGTCCAAGGCGCGGTCCGGGGGCCATTTCTGGCTCGGACCAGGGTTCTGGACGGAGCGAATCTGCCCCACTAACAGAACAGAGTCACCAATTTATCTAACAGAAAAATATCGTCTTCACAAAGAACAAGGGGCAAAAAATACAGTTTGGGTTTCATTTTTACTCTGAAACCCAAACGATAAATCAGAACCTGGACTGAAACGACGTTCTGATCCACTTTATGTCAAAAGAATCATCTTCACTTTATTACTGAACAGATACAATAAAAAAGACAATTTTTAAATATTTCTAAAATGTTTTTCTCTTCTTTAACTGAAGGATTTTGTCAAAACGTTTGTACAGATGGCTGACCTTTGACCTCCAGGTGGTCTCACTGGAGGATGCTTTTATCTCATATTTGATGATTTAATGAGGATTTCAGACTGATTATTGCTCTGATGTCTCTCCATACCAGGCTGCATTGATCAGAAAACCATCTTTTCTCCTCAGGATGAAGAAAAACTGAAAATGTTTCAGATTTTCTGTTTACACAGAAAGATTGTAACATTATTTATGCTCATTTTGTAAATGCTGCAGGGTTTTTATGTTGAAATGTTTTCCTCAAAACATGCAGAAGAATTTATTTTTCACAAAATTAATGTTTAACACTTAAACTGTAATGTGGATATCAGTGATTACAAAGTAAAAGTTTGACATTAGTTCTATTTATTGTTGTAATTGTTTGACCTCATGCAGTGAAACTTAGTTTCAATGAAAGTTTTATGATATTAATCAGTTTTCATACCATTAAACAGATGATAGGAAAACGGCTAAATTTAGAACTTTTATTCATGTTCTAAACTAAAAAATAAAAATATTAGTTCTTCAATAATATTTGTATTTTTTTGATATGTTATCAATATCTATTTTGTGTAACCCCGATTGAGCTGAAGATCTGGATCCAAAAACATTACATTTCAACCTTGCTGGTTTTAAACATTTTAAATATTCTTCTTTTTATTTATTTAATTGGTAAATATGTTTATTTGTCGGTTTTTAAACGACCCAGACATGTTTATCTGTGGGGAAATAAAACATATTTTTATGAGTCTGTGATGTGAAACGAGCTGATGGATGAAGATGAGGATGAAGATGAGGATGAAGATGAAGGTCTGATCAGAGGAAGCTGCAGATCTGAAATGCTGCGTTTGCATCTTTAGTTTCCTTCAACTTTGATCAAAGATTTTAAAACAAAACAGGATGAAGGCATCATCATCATCATCATCAGTGTCTTTTACCGCAAACTGATCTGACTGCAGATCGATAAGAAGCTGATTGATAACCAATCACAGGCCAGCTCGCCCCCAGCTGGAGGCCAAACCGAACCGAACCGTGTCAGCAGAATCCATCTTACATAACGGCGCCGTCCCGCTCCGCCTGTGCGGGACGTGCGGGGACTATGCAGGGTTACTGTGGGAATTCCCTACGTCATCGCCTCTCATGTAGCATGCGGAGCTTCACGCGTGAAGCTGGACGGCATCCCGCATCGGTGCGGAGAACCGCTGCGGCTGTTTCACTGACACGCACCATCATCATCATCATGGTTACCTCTGTCCCCCGCTGCGGGGCGAGCACCGCACGCAGCTTACCTTTGACGCAGAGCTGCGGGTGGAGGAAGGTTCCCTCCTGCGGGTCCTGCGGGTTCTGCGGGTCCGATCCAGAGGTGCGCAAGGAAAGCTCAGCCTCACCTTCCTCTCTCTCAGCGTGTGTGTGTGTGTGAGTGAGTGTGTGTGTGCACCGGAGGCTGCTGTTTCTGCGGCTCTCGCTCTGCCTCTCTGCGCAGCTGCAGTCCGGCTGCAGAGCACGCGACTCACCGGTGGATGGCGTCACGCGTCCGGCTGGTTCCCGCTGAACACCGCATGGTGACACCGCATGGTGATGGGGAAAAACCCGGAGAGGGCGGGATTCACCCAACCTGTAGAAGCACACAGACCTTCCGGTTACATCATGTTTAATATTCCGTCTGAAAGCTGCAGCTGCTGGACTGGATCCAGTTTTCATGCAGGAAGAGGATCAATCCTGCAGACCAGACACCTGATCAGGTTTCTGACCAGGTTTTCTAGAAGCTTCATCCAGAAACTCTCGTGCTGACAGGAAGTTGTGCTGAACCGCCATGCTGAGCACTGCTAGCTAAACAGTTAGCGGGGCAGGCTAATCTCAAGACAGTCAACATTAGTTCCGTTATGGAAAAGAGAAACACAAACATATTTAGCAGATGCTAATGCCTAACCCTAAACACCAGAGCAATAGAGGCCCAGATCTACCACACCAGACAAGACCCAAGGTGTAGGTTGTGCAAGGAGGCCCCTGAGACAGTCCAGCACATCACAGCAGGGTGCAAGATACTGGCAGGGAAAGCGTACATGGAGCGACATAACCAAGTGGCAGGCATAGTGTACAGAAACATCTGTGCAGAATATGGACTGGAAACCCCGAGATCAAAGAACCCCCAAAGGTGGTGGAGAACACCAGAGCTAAGATCCTGTGGGACTTCCAGATCCAGACAGACAAAATGGTAATGGCGAACCAACCAGACATTGTCGTAGTGGATAAACATCAGAGGAAAGCTGTTGTGGTAGATGTAGCAATAGACTTAGACTTAGACTTAGACTTAGACTTGACTTTATTGATCCCTTGGGAAGACTCCCTCAGGAAATTATAGTTACCAGCAGCTCACAGGCAAAAATGTGGCACACAGTAAGCATACACAAAATACAAAAAAATACAAATTAAATACAAAACAAAGAATATAAATACAACACAAAAGGAAATTATAGCAATTTGGTCGATAGATTGACCAGTGATATGGTATTGCACTGTATGGTTTGGCCTGATAAATATGGAGTTCACATTTGTAGAAAAACTACTCCTTCTTCCCTCTGTCCTGTGTCACCTCCGACCCCCCAGTGAGGAGTTGTACAGTCTGAAGGCGTGGGGGACAAAGGAGTTCTTGAATCTATTGGTCCGGCACTTGGGAAGCAGCAGTCTGTCACTGAACAGGCTCCTCTGGCTGCTGATGACGGCATGTAGAGGGTGGCTGCTATCGTCCATGATGTCCAGCAGTTTGTTCAGTGTCCTCGCCTCTGCCACCGTCACCAGAGAGTCCAGCTTCATGCCGACCACAGAGCCGGCACGCCTGATCAGTTTGTCCAGTCTGGACGTGTCCTTCTTGGATGTGCTGCCTCCCCAGCACACCACGGTGTAGAAGAGGACACTGGCGATCACTGACTGGTAGAACATCCACAGCAGTTTGCTGCAGATGTTGAAGGACCGCAGTCTCCTCAGGAAGTACATCCTGCTCTGCACCTTCCCATACAGGTGGCTGGTGTGTTTTGACCAATCCAGTTTACTGTCCAGCCACAGCCCGAGGTACTTGTAGGAGCCCACGACCTCAACCTCCGTTCCCTCTAGTACGACTGGTCTCGGCATTGGTCTGGACCTCCCAAAGTCTATAACCAGCTCCTTCGTCTTAGAGGTGTTGAGTTCCAGGTGGTTTGTGTGGCACCAGAGAGCAAAGTCCCTCACCAGACAGCGATATTCCTCCTCTCCGTCGTCCCTGATACATCCGACTATGGCTGTGTCATCAGCATACTTCTGTATGTGACACAGCTCCGAGTTGTAGTGGAAGTCAGAGGAGTACAGGGTGAAGAGAAGAGGGGCCAGCACTGTGCCCTGAGGGGCTCCTGTGCTGCTGACCACAGTGTCAGACACGGTGTCCTTTAGCCTGACATACTGCGGCCTGTTGGTGAGGTAACTATGGATCCAGGTGACCAGGTGCTGGTCCACTCCCATGCTATTTAGTTTGTCCTGGAGCAGAAGGGGCTGGATTGTATTAAAGGCACTGGAGAAGTCCAAGAAAAGGATCCTCACTGTGCCACTGCCCTTCTCCAGGTGGGAGTGGGCCCGGTGCAGCAGGTAGAGGATGGCATCCTCCACACCAACATCTGCCTGGTAGGCGAATTGCAGGAGGTCCTGAGCATGTTCCACCTGAGGTCTGAGGAGGCCGAGGAAGAGCCGCTCCAACGTCTTCATCAGGTGTGAAGTGAGTGCCACGGGCCGAAAGTCATTCAGCTCGCTGGGCCTGTTCTTCTTGGGCACTGGGACGATGCAGGATGTCTTCCAGAGGGTGGGCACTTCCCTTAGCTGCAGGCTGAGGTTGAAGATCCGCTGTAGTGGCTCTCCCAGTTCAGCAGCGCAGGTCTTCAGCAGCCTTGGACACTGGTCCGGCCCTGCTGCTTTCCTGGGCTTGAGCTTCCTCAGCTGTTCTCTGACCTGGTCTGTGGTGATGTGGGGTGGAGGTTGTGCTGAGGTGTGTGGGGGGGTTGTCAGTGTTTTCTTGTCTGTGGGGAGGTGTGTGGTAAGGAGCAGAGGTGGCTGCAGTGAGAGAGGGGGTTGGGGGGCACAGACTGGTTGAACCTGTTGAAGAAGTTGTTCAGTTGGTTTGCCCTCTCCATTGTTCCCTCAACGACTCTGGTCTTTGTGTTGAGGCCAGTGATGGTCCTCACACCTTCCCAGACCTCCCTCATGTTGTTCTCTCTCAGCTTCTGCTCCACCTTTCTCCTGTAGCTGTCTTTTGCTTCCCTCACACACTGCTTCACCTCCTGCTGTGCTGCCTTCATGGCCTCCCTGTCTCCTCTCCTGAAGGCAACCTTCTTCTTGTTGAGGACAGTTTTGACTTCCCGCGTTACCCAAGGCTTGTTATTAGGGTAACAGCGGACAGTCTTAGCAGGGGATACCACATCTGCGCAGAAGTTCAGATAGTCCGTCAGGCAGTGTGTCAGCCTCTATGTCCTGGCCATGCGGGCTGAACAGTGCATCCCAGTCCGTGGTGTTATAACAGTCTCTCAGAGCACTCTCCATCTCAGGGGACCACCTCCTGATGGAGCGAGCTGTTGTAGGCTGCTTTTGGACCAGGGGGGTGTACAGTGGCTGTAGGTGAACGATGTTGTGATCTGACTTCCCTAGTGGGGGGAGGGGTGTTGCTCTGTATGCATCCCTCACATTGGCATACAGGAGGTCGATTGTCCTGTTGTTCCTGGTGGGGCAGTCAACAGCTTGGTGGAAAGTGGCCAAAGTAGAGTCCAAGGTCACATGGTTGAAGTCCCCAGAGATTATAATAAAAGCGTCAGGATGTTTTGTCTGTAGCCTTGCTGTGACAGAGTGGATTTTTTCACAGGCAGTGGTAGCGTCCGCTCTCGGTGGGATGTAAACGCAGATGGAGATCACGTGACTGAACTCCCTCGGCAGGTAGTATGGCCGCAAGCTAACGACTAGTAGCTCGAGGTCCCGACAACACCAAACAGTCTTTACAGTGATATGTCCTGGGTTACACCATTTATTGTTCACATACATGATGAGTCCCCCACCTTTTCTTTTACCACTCGCTTTCGTGTCCCTATCAGCCCTCACAGCGGTGAATCCTGGCAGGTCCACGTTAGCGTCCGGCACGAGGTGGTTCAGCCATGTCTCTGTAAAGATGAACAAGCTGCTCTCTCTGTAGATCCGCTGGTTGTTCAGTGCAGACAGCTCATCCATCTTGTTCGGCAGCGAGTTCACATTCCCCATGATTACAGTGGGAATCGATGGCTTGTAGCGCCTCCTGTTGTCCGCTAGCTTAGCCTTTAGCTTAGCCCCAGCCTTGCAGCCCCTCGGTCTCCTCCTCAACTCCACCGGAATGTTGTGTCTTATGCCGGCTTGTCCCATTGTTCTAAAGTCCAGCAGTTCCTCTCTCGAATAAGTGAGAAGTTTGGAATTATCCATAGGATAAATAAAAAACACACACAGCCTCTTCTGTGTTGAAGAGGCAACAGAAAAAGTTAAAAAAGAGCTAAAAACTGAAGAGCTACTGGAGAGGCAGCCGTCTCCCACAGCGCCAAATACCAAGTGATTGCAACATCAGAAAAAAGGAGCACGAGAAACTGGAGAAATACCAGGGCCTCAGGGAAGAACTGGAGAGGGCCTGGAAGGTGAAGACCACAGTGGTGCCTGTGGTCATCGGGGCCCTCGGGGCAGTAACCCCCAAACTGGAGCAGTGGCTACAACAGATCCCAGGAACAACATCAGACATCTCAGTCCAGAAATGTGCAGCAGTCCTTGGCACAGCCAAGATACTGCAGGACCCTCAAGCTCCCAGGCCTCTGGTAGAGGATATATAGATCTATATATATAGATATAGATCTATATATCCTCTGGTAGAGGATATATAGATCTATATATAGATCTATATATATAGATATAGATCTATATATCCTCTGGTAGAGGACCCGAGCTCAGAGGATAAGAACCACCCGCGGTGGGTGAGAAGGGAATTTTTTTTTATTTATATATATATATATATACATATATATATATATATATATATATATATATATATATATATATATATATAAACTTTAGAACGTTCAGTTTCAGGTGAAGTGACGTTAGAACTTGAAATATTTACAAATGTTTGGTTGAACTCCATCCTAAGTTTTATTGACGCCTTTCAGCTGCCAGTAGAAAACAGCGGCAGCCTTCAGGATCAGACTGCAGGGAAATACCGCCCCCAACAGGCTGCAGGGAGGTACTGCATCTTTAAACAAATCCAAACATTTCAACACAATATTTCACATTATTTTATTCTGGTTCAGTCATGTGATTTAAATACCATGAAACGATTCTAAATCTCTGATGCGTTTGTTGTGAACTGGCTCTGTATTAAATTTAAACCCAAACAATTTTTA